CACACACACACACACACACACACACACACACACACACACACACACACACAAAGGGGTTCCGAAAGGGGGTCTGAAATCCCCCGACAGGTGAGTGCGCTGGGGGGGCCCGGCMCCCAACCGGGTGCCCTGCCCGGCCAGGCCGCCCGGGACCTCCCCCGGGCCCCTGCCGGTCACCCGAGCGGCCCGGATCCCCACACAGGAAATACATAGATATTCTGTTTTTTTCTTCTTTTTTCTCTTTTTTAGGGCGGCAACCCATTTTGTACAAGTACATAGATATTCTCTTTCTTTTTTCTTTTTTCTCTTTTTTAGGGCGGCAGTCAGGGTTGCATACCCGCCGACCACCGACCCCGACCGCCAACCGTTTTGCAGCCGACCAGTAGGGCCGACTGGTCGGCGGTCTGCCGACCAGTCAGAAAACAACCATCCACTGATTTTTCTCCAAATCTGAGTTGTGCGAGGATTTGATCCCTCGGCAGTGCTGGGAAAGGCCTTGCCCGCCCTAAGTGAAGGCGGGCCTGCCAATATGTGCCAAGGCCTGGGTACAGGCCAGTGTGATCATCCTAAAGGGGTCATATATGTGTGGGGAATGAGCCCTCGCGGGGCCCTTAACAGACATGCACATGTTCTGGGCAGAGGCCCTCAGCAAGCCCTGTGCCCGCCCTAAGTGAAGGCGGGCCTGAATAATCACAAGAGGCCAAGATTTGACATTTTCCATATGTGGGTATCAGACAGTTGCAGCATGCCAGTTGTTTACAGAGCAACGTGAGCCTTTCCAGGCTCTTTCCGGAAGATGCAGCCTCAACGGGCAGTTGAGCCCAGGGCCCCATACAGTTAAGGCCCTGGGTGTGCGCTTTCAGAGGCCGACACATCATACAACAGTCATGGACCAATGAGATTGCAGAATTGTCGGCACAAAGTGGCCGTGAGCCAATGAGATCACAGCGAACATGTGGAGGCCCGTGGACTGCCTGGCTGTGCCCAACTGTAAAGGGCCCAGGCCCGTAACTGCAACTGGGCCCGGACGCAGGCATTGAGGCCTGACTGGAAGCTACTGGATGCTCGCCCAGGCAGGCCCAGAGGCAGCCGAGGCTGAGCTCACTTTCCATATAGGAAAGTGAGCATCGCTGGTCAGGTTATTCTGGCATAGGCAGGCAATGCGGCCACGCTGCTGCGTTGCAACTTCGTGTTTTACACGTAGCTGTCGGCTGGGTCGTGCGCACGGGCGCTGAGGTGTTAGGTGCAATGCTGGGCAGTGGCCGCACGGCAGCCATAGCCGGGCTGCTGGGCGCAGGTCTGGATGGCGATGGTGGTCTTTCCGTGTTGAGAATGCACACTGTGGGAAGTCAGGGGTGATGAGGAGAGACGAGATACATACCTGGTGCATGAGGGAGGTCAACTACGGTGTTGACGTCATGCACATTGGTCTTCAAGGTCGAATTGAGCCTGTTGCATGAACACTGGTGTAGTAGGATAGGCGAGTAGAGTGTAGGCTGGGCGCTGGGCGCCAGACAGAGTAGGAGCGACATTGGATACGGTGTTGGTGTGGCCTGAGGGCTTCGGCATTAGCTCGTGAGTTCATTGTATTGCTCTTATCTGGATGGAATCTCAGTGCATTTGCGCTCTCTGCTCGTACACGACTACTTGGACATCTGTGTGATTTCACAACTTGGTTTTCTGTATATCGCTCTTGCTCATATTCCTTGCAGTTGGGGCTGTACTGCGCTTGCTGAGTACAGCCCAAATCCGCTGAGAAACATTTGGGGATGGGGGGGGGTACGGGCAGGGGGGGGGATAGTGGTGGTACGGGGGGGTATAGGGGTGGTATGGGGCGTAATTGGGGGTGTATGAGCGTGTTGGGGGTGCTGGGGGTGCTGGGGGTGCTGGGGGTGCTGTGGGCCGGTATGGGGTTGTTGGTGGGGTTATTGGGG